ACCGTTGCATACACACAAACACACAGTGTTCCGCTACACACACACACAGTCTGGCCGACTCAACACCTGCGATGTATCTCGACTCTACCGGCACTATGCCTGCCGACATCAGCGACGCTGCCTGTCCGCCTTTTCAGTCGTGCTGCCGCCCGTCTGCCTTTTCAGCCGCCCATCCAGTGGAGCTCCTAAATGTTGCCGTCAAACTCGACATCTCTGACATCCTCTCCATCTGGCAACCTTTCACCGTCGTATCCGTCACTCTTACTCCACCTCGACACCTAAAGTGCAGCGGGTGCTACCACCAGAAAGTCGTATCCGGCATCCTTCTCCGAAATGGCATATTTTTATTTTATTTTATTTATTTAATTATTTTTTAACAACAGTTGGTCATGGCGGAAACATGGTGAAAGGCTATGACCGCTGAAGTCAGAGTCGTCAGACGTCGCCGGCCGGAGAGTGGTTGACTCAAGTTAGTGGCGTAGAGGAGAAAGGAATTTGAGTTTGGGTCATTCTTTTGAAAATTATATAAATTGCAAGGACTTAATTGCAATTTTATGAAATTTTATTATGTTTCAATTTGGTTCAAGTACCAAATATGTAATTTATGGAAAGTCAAATATATAAAAAAAATGTAATATAATAAATATACTTGTATACATTTTAATATATAAAAAATATTAAAATAATAAATATACTCGAATAGCAATAAATAATAAATTATTTTAATTATTTAGGTTAATTTGATTTACAATTATAGATACTAAATTTATTTTAATAAAACACATAATTTATATGAGATTGTATAGGCTAGTGCACTTTATATATCAGCACGATTCACTTTATAAAACAAGAAGTTGCACTTTATAAAACAACATGTTGCATTTTTTATCAACACACTCCACACAATTAATGCTCCGTCAAAATGTCACACAAAATAATCTAAAAAACAGATAAACATAATAATTTAACACCAACCACATAATTTATTCACATAAACACCCGCAATAACAAAATTACATTATTTCACTTTATACATCAACACGTAGTACTTTATAAAACAACACAATGCACTTTCCAAAACAATACGTTACACTTTATCGCGGCTGTTGTATTGCACATTAGAGATCGACATCGATCGTACTTTTTTCAACCAAAAAATAATATATAATAATAAGTAAATTTATTAATATATTAAATATAATTTTAATATAAATAACAAACTTTTTCGATTATTTATGACAAATCGGTTAACCAAACTGAATAAAACAATTAATTATGTTCATTTTCAATTTGATTTGAGACAAATATTCCGTTTCTGTCGATCAAACAAAATGAAAATAATAATAATAATAATAATAATAATAATAATAATAATAATAATAATAATAATAATAATAATAATAATAATAATAATCAAAATTATTAGTTTAATTTTTATGTATAGCGGGCGCACATTAGAGCTGCACGAAATGTACATTAATGACTATTACATTCCACAATACTAACCGAACTAATTTTTTCAATATCAAAATTTAAATTTTAATTCAATTATTTTTCTCTAATTTTAAAAACTCGATTATTTCGCTTCGATATCAATTTGTTTTTAAAATAGAATAACCAGACATCCAAATTATATAAAAATGTTGTTATAAATTTATATTTTTTTGTATTTTTTTAATATATTATCTGTTTTTAATACTAAATAAAATAATATTGTAATATTAATTATGGTTTAGTTAATTATAAATTTAACAAATAGAACATATTATAAAAGTTTGAAAATTGCAAGCAAGTCCCTAGGACATATCAAATTTACAAAATGAGGCCCTTAATTAAAAATCTGAAAACTCCTTTTCTCATTCTCATCTTCGCCGCCGCCGAATCACCACCGCCGGCACCGACCACCGTGACAACCGTGGTGGTCACCACCTTAGTTACCCCATCAACGTCTTCATCTTCTTGTCGGAGCCCTCCATTAAAAAATTAAAAAACGTCCGTCATCTCCTCCACCGAGTCATCTC